ATGATTTTATATGATATTTAAACTCCTTAATTTTAATTTATGATTGCCAACCCATTTTCAGTCACTGTTGACTAGAATTTCTTGTCAGTGCTTTACATCGTTAGAGGTGATGGCAAGGGACTCCTGAAGATTCCCTTTTTATGGGGGCCTATGTTACCAGGCCGAATAAATTAATCCATGGCTTTCCTTTCTTGACATATTCCTGGTTCCCTCTATTTATCTAAAAAATTAGCCCAACTAGTAAGAGGGGCAATTTGATCATACATAAGTACTTCTCCACATCTACCTTCTAATTTAATAAGATTTTGATCTTTGGGGAAGATCTAGTTTGTAGATATCTAAGTAAGCAGATGTTTCCTGTAGCTAAGCAGTACTGTATATATCACTTTGTGAGTGAAAAAATAATTATTGATAGCACTGTCATGATTTCCAAGGAGGTTCAAAAGTTAATGAACACATCCTACTCTGCCTTCTTGACCCCCCCCCCCCCAAATAGCTAGTCAGCTATTTGGACTCAACAATCAGAAATATTGCAAATTCCTCTTTCTCCTTTCTAACACAGACAACGTAGAATATCCTGCAAAAATACAATGCAATGAAAATATATAAAAAAGAAAGTATTTTTCCCTAATGAAAGCACTGATATGGGAACGATGTATATATTTTTCCACTCTGTCTCAAATCAAACGCTGCAATATGAATTAACAGTTTATACACACTTGAATCCAGGCTCTGTTCTCCACATGGTAATTTACGATGCATAACAAGGTCACATCTCAAGAGCTAACCCTGTACACTAATAAAAACAGCAATAGCAACCAGAATACCATTTATTGGAGCCCACCATTTGCTAAGATCTGAATGTGATATTTTAAGACATTCCCTGTAAAACACACAACAACTTGGACAGGTAGATTTCTATTGTTTCCATTTTACCATTGAGAACTTTGAGTATTGAAGAGATTAAATAATTTGCCCATGAATATGCAGACAGACCTGTTTGGACACAAAACCCACACCCTTTCCTCAACCCTGTTGTCTCTTATACATTTAAGGCAAATAAAAGAAAACAGTGACTGCTTCTTAGGAGAATGAAGAGAGGGACCACAGGAGAGAGAAGAGTAATATAATCCTGTCTTAAGAGGTTGTCAGGCTCTCACATCAATATGGTTTGTAGTTCTTGAAATCACAGATCCTGTTCTGTTGCCCACCCTAATGGCTATTCTATGTCCCAACGTGATACATCTTTCACTCTGGACATGACTTGGATCGGTTTGCTGCATTTATAGTCTTTTAAATTTCCCTTGCACATGCTCAGGGCATCATTCTGGAGAGCAGTCAATTGCTCAGGGAACTGATTCTATGATGCTTTCAAGGCCGTCACCTGTTTCTCATTATTTCTTTCCTGAGCTTAGCTAACAGACATGAGTGTTATACCTTGGGAATGAAAAGTCTGTGGCCAAAATAACAAAATCACATCCACCATCACTGTGCTCTTCCTATTAGATTCTTGTCTCCCTGGTCAGGGTGATGTGTCATGGAATGAAGAGAAAACATGCTAAATGACAAGATTTTTTATACATCACAGCATTATAGGCCTTCCCACTAATGCTGGGGGTCAGTAACTGGCCCGATGGGTCACGTTAGATTGGCAGCACATGGTAAAATAATTAGGAGGTGATCCTATACTTGAGCAGGTGCTGTCCTGTGAATGAGAACTGCAGATAGTCTACAGCAGGCCAAGGTTGTGAAGAAGAATGACAAAAACCAAAGTCGCTACATGAGAACAAATCAACAAAGTGAAATCTGAAAGAGGGACAGCTCCCCACCACCACCAAAAAAAAGACAAGAAAAATGTGCTTCTTGACATTCAGAGTATTTTCAATTAGGTTGAACTAAAACTTGGGGAAATGGCAGAAGAGAAGATGGAGAAAACAGATACCTTCAAGTTATAAAAAAAAAAAAGAAAATGAGTACATGCCTTTTTGGTGGTTTGAAAAAACTGGAAGCAAATATTTCTAAAAGTCCAGTATGAGTAGTCAACAGATAAATGGGCAAATAACGGGAAGAGCTAATTTACAAAGGAGAAGAAATGTAAAGAAAAATATCCCTTTCCACTAGAAATAAACCTATTTTTTAATGATGCATTGTTTTGGTCTGTTAAATTCACATTTTTAGAAGTGTGTAATTCCCATTGATGGTGAGGATCAGAAGAAATGGACACTTTTAAACATTTCTGATGGTACTCTGAATTAGCACTACTCTTTTGCAAAGAAATTTGGCAATGTGTATCAAAATTCTCAAGTGTTTCTATACTTTAGCCTCTTCAGAAAATTGATTCTCAGAAAATAATCTCAAGTATACAAACAAAAATATTCATTGCATTATAGGTCATTTTGACCCATAGTCAAAATATGGAACAACCCCCAAAATGTCTTGAAATATAAGAATGACAGATCCATTTAATGAAATATGATTGCAAAAATGATAATTATAAAGACTATACAAAACCTAGGAAATGATCTTCCCATAATATTGACTGAAAAAGAGCAAGTAAAAAACTTCTATGGTAATAACTGTGGATGGACAATCAAAATTTCGTATCAGTGAAAAGACTGGAAAGAAATATACTGAAGCAATAGCTGAGATTGTACCGACATGGTGGCATTCTTGCTGATGATATATTTCTTCTCCATTTGCCATACCTTCTTCAATGTGTGGCATGAGAAAGAGAGAGAGAGAGAGAGTATGCAAGAAGGGGAAGGGGCAAAGAGAGGGAGAGAGAATCCCACGCAGGCTCCACACTGTCAGCGTGGAGCCCAATGTGGGCTTGATCCCACAAACTGTGAGATAATGACCTGAGCCAAAATCAAGACTCAGATGCTTAACTGAGCCACCCAGGCGCCCAGGAATAAATGTGGTATTTTAAAAATCAGGGGCGCCTGGGTGGCGCAGTCGGTTAAGCGTCCGACTTCAGCCAGGTCACGATCTCGCGGCCCGTGAGTTCGAGCCCCGCGTCGGGCTCTGGGCTGATGGCTCAGAGCCTGGAGCCTGTTTCCGATTCTGTGTCTCCCTCTCTCTCTGCCCCTCACCCGTTCATGCTCTGTCTCTCTCTGTCCCAAAAATAAATAAACGTTGAAAAAAATTAAAAAAAAATCAGTATATTTTTTAAAACCTCATTGAAGGAACAATACAAAAAACAAAACAAAACAAAACAAAAAAAACATAACCAAAAAAACAGCAAAAAACTATGAGCTAGACAAGTACAGTTACAGATAGTATCCATATTTAAGAGAAAGCTAGTAGGAAGACATCTAAATAGGTCCTATGATTTATAAAATGATGGATCTCTTTTATCTGGAAGACAAAAATGTATTGAAACATCCAAAGCTTTGTAAAGAGGAATTCACGTCAAATGAATTGAATTTCCCTCTAAAATAGGTTGGAATGTACACAGATAAGGGAGAAAATAACAGATATCTATGAGACGGCCTGGGCTAAGAATATTGTGTTCTTGCCATTTTAGTCCCCATGGAGTCTATCCACAGTCCTGTTGGACAGTGTTTCAGAGTGTTTTCCCTGAGGCCAATGGGCTCTATTAGACTTCTTGAGTTCTCTTCCAGCTCGACAATTCTGTGAAATGTGTTTAATAATTAAACAAGAAACTAAGCAAGAAAACTTCCCTGATATTTGATTCCAGTTGGTGAATTCAGTGAGATCCAATCATTAAATGAAAAAACCTGTTCTTGTTTTTTTTTTTCAATTCTTGCTACAAGTGTGGTCACCTCTCATTGAAATAATCTTTCCACAAGTTGTTCACTGCCTGCTCAATCAGGAAACAGAAAGGAGACACTCTTTTTACCAGTAAATTTTTTTTTAAATTCTTGTAATTGACTATGATAATATCTACCCAAACAGAGACAGAGCATGGTTAAAATGTCTGGGAACGAGCAAGGAAACGTGGTCTAATGCAGTAGTGGTGGACTCACCACAAGATGGTCCAAAGGGTTTTTCTCTATTTGTAGTTCCCATATTGAAGAAAAATTTGCAATTCTTGCACTTTCATGGAACAACAGACTGCGATTTAAATTTCTCAGTTTGTGTAGCTCGTTTTGTACATCACCACGTTTTGTGTTCTATCGCATATCTGGTCTTTATACTTTTTGACTTTCCCTCAAAGATACTGGGATGTCACAGGTGTCCTACTGGGGACACTGGAGGCCAGGTGGGGACAGGAGGGAGCAGCACCCTCCACCGCTCTCAGAAATACCTTCCTCCTACACTTGAGACCCACGTCAGGACGACATTCTGTTTGGCTCCAGAAATGAGGAGTGAACACAAAGGTATTTCCAATGTAGGTGGAGAAGACAGGAAACAGAATCAATTTTGTGGAGTGCTTGCTTTTTGCACAGTATGTCACTGCCCTAGATGAAGGTCAAAAAGAGTTTAGAAAGTGCCTGTTGTCTTCTGAAGAGTTAATACTCTAATGGGAAGACAAGTATACACGGAAAAAAGAAGAGAAGGTTAATTTCTATAAAAAATTAAATGGAGCGAATGAGGAGGCAAGAAACATAACAAATCCCTTGGTTGGTGTACAATTTGTCCCTGAAGCCTACAGTCTAAGATCTTTGTAAAGGGAAGAATTACAGAAACTTTACTAAGAACAGCAAGACTTGAGAGTAGAGAGGTCATTTGCCTCTGGTTGTAGGCATTTGTTCATGTTCATACCAAATGATAAGGTACTCTTTATTTTTTGAAGTATATTCTTAGAAACACCGTGGCTCATTAGTTTGACGTCTCTAGTGATGTTTGTCAATTACATTGTTAAGATTCAATGTTTTTTGAGAAGCTGCATTTTACAGAGACTACAGTGCTAGTGTTAATAATTTCTCTTTGGCTGATTATGGTCCAAATCAGGGGATAATAGAAGCCCGAGATTCAATACAGCAAAGTGCTATATGCCCTTCTCAAATTCACAGGAGGACTCATTAAACTTTGTTGTCCATCCTCGAGTGAATCCCAAATAATTTCGATGATTGGATGAGCAGCATGCTATATGGAGAAGAAGAAAGGCTGACTTACAGACTATTTCTTTATATGTGTGGCTACTTGTTTTCTTTCTTGCTGTGAAATTTTAAAATCCTGCAGGAACTGGGATGTGCTTAACCATGTGCTGCCCAGAAGGGATTACGGCAATAATGAAAGGAAATTGCAACTCAGTCTGAAGAATGCCCTGCCTGTGCTAGCATGGCAAGTATGTTGTCTTATGAAAATATAAACAACTCCCCTTGCTTCAAACTCACATGTTTTGTTAAGATGGTAAATACGTCACCTTTCCATGTGGGCCTGCTGTTGATTTGCTTAGTATTTTAGCGGAAAGGACAAGAGTTTACTTTCACACCAAGGAAAAAGCCCCAAATTGACGAGACTTTGTAAATGAGAGTTTATGGCAGGCTTTTAGAAATATTGTGATTGTCCCTGGAAAGAGCAGTAGATGTCTCCTCTTCATTTAGACTTTCCAAGTATCTATTGTCCCCAAATGACTCTACCTGTCTGGAATTTACAGGGTTTGAAGCCGCCGATTTAATGTGCCGCCCCCCAGGCCTGAAGTTTTGAGTGAAGGTGAAAGTAATACTTTCAACCAAACAATAATGTGCCTGCTTCACTCCACCACTCTGTCTTCTTCTACAAAAGAATCCTCCTCAGACAAAACAAACAAACACTTTACTATCAAATATATTAACTGATTCAATATATGCTAGAATAATATATCTATATGTGAACTGGTCTCTTTTCTTTCCACATTCTTACCTTAATCCAGAAAATGTCATCAGCAAATACGAAACTCTGGCCAGGTTAGGCCCTGATTTTAATCCACATCAACCACTATTGCCTGAAATCCACCTGGCAGGGACTGGCATTTACTGGGAACTCACTTTATGACAGAGACTATAGAGTAATTTATACCTATTATTTCAGTTGATTCTCACGACCCACTTTGGAGATAATGGTCATTATTTCCACTTTACAGATGAGGAGACTGAAGCAGAAAAAATGTAAGTAAATGTCCTAAGGTGATTCAGCTACTAAGTGGCCAATCCAGTATGAAACCTCAGATTGTATGCTATTTACTACATCACTGCTAGATAATCATTGTGCAACTGCAGGCGGCTTATAGAATTCACTGACTCATCTTATAAAGCAAATATGCATCTACGAGCACAACACTGGGAGTTTTTAAGAGATCAAGAACAACAATAGTGAAAGGAAAGAGCAAGTCAAGATTCCTAAAAAGACAAACAGCAGGTTTAGCAGGTGTTAGGGCCAGATGCAATCAACACACATGTCATGATAGGCACCAAATATTGTATTTTTGAAACATTTAAGGAAATGATTTATCTAGATTAAGATCTTGATTCAAAAAAATTACTCACATGAGACTAGTCATATAGGAATTTCATTTTGAGGTCTTTTTAAAAAAATGTATTAAAAGTTATGTTGCAAGGAGTTTCAACAGAATGGAATTTTGTTTTCACTGAGTGTCTGCTGTGAACATCCCACTGCTCAGAATGGTAACTGCTTGAGGACAGAGAGAACATTTCATTGGTTTTTGACAGAGGGATTGATTGATTGATAAAGCAATCCTATTGATTTTGAGGCAGCCCCTGACAGGATCTGCCAGTCATGAAGAGAAATTTCTTTGACATTGGGATTTGGTGTATCTTGCCCAACTTGTTAGGGCTGGATAACAGTCCCAGCAGGAAGACTCAGGGAAAGGTGGAGAACCAGGGGATAGGAATAAATGGTGGTATTAGGTGATATACAAAATAGCACACAATCCAAAGGCATGTTATGGTATTTCTCTGTCTAGATGATTCAATTAACAGCAAGGTGGGTTTGGGGGATGGGTAGAAGTGAGGAAGCATTCTTTCATTCTTTTTCTAAAAAACCTTCAGGAGGTTTTTGGGGGTTTTGGTTTGCTTTTACATTGTCATGATTGCTTATAAATAAAACATTAAAAAAAATACACACACACGTGTGTGTGTGTGTGTGTGTGTGTGTGTGTGTGTGTATTTTACAAGGCACTGTCATCAATGTGTTTGATGATAGATTTTTTTTTAATGATAACTCTGCTCCTTTCTCTAAATTACAGATAATCACAAGCAGAGTTGGGGGGTGTTTTCAAATGGTTGCAAATCCTCAGCTCATGTGATAAAAGATGCTGACATTAATATTCTGGTGTGCAAGCTCATTCCTTCAGCCAGCTGTGAGGCAGAGGCTCTGCGACCGAGGTGAGACTACCGCAATGTGCAATGTGTACGGGGTCCTCCGAAAGGCTGATCTGTTACTTGCACCTTGAGCAAATTGTGGCAGCTTGACTGTTTCCATGGGTGAGCGGAAGTGGCTCTGTTTTCTCGCTGCTGCGTTCAATTTACTGGCTGCCTCGGAAGGTTCAGAGCAGGCCCAGGGTTTGACTGTTAACTATTTATTTTCTATCAGTTTCTAGACTTCATCCATCTTTGAACTCCCTGGCTTACAGAGGAGAGATGAAATCAATAGTATTTAGCTCTAGTGACCGCATGTGTTCATTAAGCAAATCTCTACCTTGCTTCAAGCCCCAGAGAACAGCCCAGTGTTTTAACGGGTAACGCTAGGTTAAGTTGCAAAGACTTCTTGGAGAGGAAAAGTACCCCACACCCACCTTGCTACTTTCTGGATGCTCCAGCAATGAACCTATACGTTCTTATATCATTACCTAGTTATTTCTTATGTTTTCTTGCCTTCCTATACAGATCTATGTCCTTGAGTTTAGAAAATGATGTCTCCTTCAAATCCTTCCCAGCTTCTAACTATACGGTTGGTTTAAACACAACCCTTACTGGTTGTGAAGAGCTACGAACAGAGTCCGTCAGACATCCAGCAAATGCTCTGTGAATGTTTGTTGCTGTTGAAATTTAAAACTGAAGTTATTGAAAAAAAGCCACAAGGTTTGACATGACTAAGGAGTATCTGGGCCATTTCTGGCGGAGCCTCCGTTTCTTTCCATCCTTCTTGCCCTCTGGATTGATGCTTGGCTCCGAGGCTTCACCTCGGCTCTGGCTACAACCAAACAAGGTCCTTCACAAATACCTCTGCCCATCAATACCCCCAACCCAATCTCTGTGACTCCACACTCCAAAGCGACCTCGTACTCCAGCTGAAACAGACTCCGGGCTGCCTAGTATCTGTGCCATACGTGTCTGCTTCCCACTGCCATGCTTTCCCAGGAATGTCCTCTCAGCCCACATCCAGGCAATACCTCAAACCCCTCCTCGCCGAGGGCTTTGCTGACCTACTCACTGAGATTGATGACTCCTTTTGTGTCCTCACAGTAATCTGTATACTCTCGACATCATTGATCCTGCTTATTTGGATATCTCTCTCCCCTATCAGATAGAAGTCTGCAGAAAACAGGGTTGTGTCTTAGTCATCCTTGTAGCTCAGTTCTTGACATGTAAGGTGTGGTAAATAAATGTTTCTAAATGAAAGCATGAACACCCACCCCTCTGTGTAAATTTCTAGGGTAACACTTGCTGTGCCCCACCCAAATCCTGCATCCCAGCATCCACCCAGCCTCAGGGCGATCTGGTCATTTGGCCTTTGTCCCCCTTCCTGGCACTTTTTTATCTACCTTTTGGATTTTCTCTCTATTGATTGGTGGAGATCTAGTAATTATGATTGTTTAGCACCAAAATTCTTCCTTTATTTGAAAAGGAGATAGGCTTCTAAGAGGTACTGAAGGATAAAATAAAATAGCCATCTTGAGATAATTTAGCTCAATCCAACTATCCAACCATGCGTGCTGTTGCAGACCTCATAAGAGACTGTTAGTGTCCTACTGGACAGGGAAAAATCTACGAGAATGAAGTACCTGTATACTTAAAGCCACGACTTTTTCAAAGACTGAGCAGAAAAATATGAAGAACAAAGAGCCACAGGGACTGATGACGAGAGAAACAAAAGCAATCATCCAGTCCACCAGCTCAGAGCTGGTCACAGAGGTTGTAGGTGGTTGAGCCTCCATCAGAAGGAAGGCCTCATATCACCCACAGAAGACTTATGCTATCAGTGTTTAGGCAGAATTAAAACATCCTATGCTGCCAAGCATAACCATCCTTTTGGTCACAGACATGGTCATTGGGTTTATTCAGTGACAAACCAGAGTCTTAACATTGCTCCTTATGGGTGGAGAACAGGTGATAACAGAGAAGTTATTTTGTTTTTTGGGTTTTGTTGGGTTTTATTTGTTTGTAAATCTCATGTTTTTAAATCCATGTGCATACTACTTCCAGCAAAGACATTTCTTACATTATGCACTGCACACATAGTTGAACATACACCTTCATCAAGGAACAATGAAGGATGACTGTTTTTCTAATAGCCATAGAGGAAACAGGATAATGGGGAAAGTGGCAAAATCAAAAGGAATGCTAATGCCTATGCAAATAAGGACAAAGTATAAGGAGTTCAGAATGGTCAAGCAGAGAACTAATCTGTCTCTTGCCACTGTCCTGTTCATCCAGCTGAGCTGGATGTCTGTTGAGCTGAGGGAAAGTCTCTAAAGGGCTATTCTCGGAGTCCTCTCTTTTTAGGACAAGATAATCTCCACTCTTCAGCCAAGACCCTTTGAGAGAGAGACTTCTGGGTCACCTTTTAATTTCTCATAGCCCTAGAGCAGTACCATGAACAGAACAGATATTTAATCCCTCTGTGTTTTAAGAACTGAGTGTGGAGGAAGGAAAGAAGAGAGCAAAAATAAGTTCATGTAAAGAAAAGCCCCAAGGCCAGAATGGTAGAAGGGAGAACCTTCTACAAAGGTTTCAGAGAACAAAAACTTAGCTCTGTGGGAAAGAATTCTCTGCAGATCCTCTGCATAAACATAATACCTGCAATCGTGGGTACTCATCACGATTTGCAAAATAAAACAAAACTACCTAGCCTCCAGCACTTTAAAAGCAGGGCAAGGGGCCAAAGACAGGAAAACTTCTTTCAAGGCAGATATTTCCTATTTTTCTTTCCTTTTAACCACCCAAAACTAACCACAGTGAGGCGGATTTTAGCATATTGGCTAAATATGGCTTAGCATATTTCATTGATCTTCACATTAAGTTCTCATTTTTTGGTCCCATTTGAGAAGAAAGAAATCAGTACCTAACAAGAAGAATAGAGTTGTGGAGTATTTTTGTACTTTAGAAATATCTGGAGTCAAAAGAACCTTTTGTTCAGTGGCCCAAGTTGGAAAAGCTTACAAAGATGGGTAGAATCAAGGCCCCTTCTGTAGATGCATCCAATAGGTGATCAACCTGTCCAAAGCTACAAAACTCGGACAAGCAAAATCCAGGATCTGGATCTGCAAACTTCCAAGTGAAGATTCTTAAAGCTTTCCGGATCCCTTATTATACTATTATTTTTATTTTACTTTGGAAGTTTATGTATTTATTTTGAGAGAGAGAGAGAGAGCATGAGCAGGGGAGTGGCAGAGAGAGAGGGAGGGAGGGAAAGAGAGAGAGAAAGAGAGAGAGAGAGAGAGAGAGAGAGAGAGAGAATCCCAAGCAGGCTCTGTACTGGCATCGCGGAACCTGATGTGAGGCTCAAACCCACGAACCTATGAGATCATGACCTGAGTGGAAACCAAAAGTCGGATGCTTAACCAACTGAGCCACCCAGGCATCCCTTCTATTATTTTTAAATAGTAAAGAGATACATTGAAATCACTCTACTTTTTAAACTACTAGAATTCTATTGAGTTTTAATTAAGATAACCTGATTTTTTTGCTATCCATATTTATGTCATCATTTTACAAAAGGAGAATTAATCAAATTTAATTTTCTGTAGTTATAACTATAAATATTCAATATAATTATTTTATGATGCACTTTGGTGTATATTGTAACATATTGTTTGTGAGTTAATTTCAAGCCAGATAGGGAATATTTTGCCTCATGTTAAAAACGATGACTGAAGTACAGAGCAAAGAGGTTTTTAGAAGATGGGTATTTGGGGGGGGACATAGGAGGAATGTAAATAATGTATCATTATCCATAATATTTTAGAAGTCTATAATGTTTTCAACTACATTACAATTTTTGTTGTGTTTTATGCCAATTCTTTTAGATCAAGGTACAATGAATTATCATCATCAAGGCCAAAGTATTCCATTGGTAGAAAATGGGTTTGATTCTACTGCCCTAACCCCAGGAAGGTAGGTTAAAATTCTAAATGAAGAACTAGAAAATGGTTGAAACTAAGTGATTTCTGGAGAAACAAATAGCTAATAAGACTGACAGATGACCGAGGCTCTTTCTGTGTAAAACCTAGCATGAGATTCATCTTTCCAAATGAGCTTTTTGGTCATTTCTCTCCTCAAAACTTCCAATGACTCCCCATTGTCTAGAGAATCAGGGTAGACCATCTTGACCTGACATTAGACATGGCCTCACATTGCCCAATTACGTGCACCTGTGCCAGGGCAGCTCTCTACTGTATTAATACTGCTTTACAAAAACCCTATGCTCCACTGAGGCAATTTTCTGGGACTGACATCTCTTGACAAATAGGTAACATAAGGCTCCAAAAAACGTGAAGGTAACTAAGATGCAACAGAACTGTGATGTTGGAAATATCCTATATGTGCTGTCTAAAGCAGTGGCTATGAGAATCTCAGATGTGACTAGTGAAACTAGCAAGTGTTTTAATTATTTATTGCTGCGTAACACCCCAAACTTAGTGGATTACAACAGCACTTATAAATTCTTTCTCACAATTTTGTAATCTTGACTAGGCTAAGCTGTGTGATTGTTCTGCTCTAAATGGTATTTGCTGGGACAGTGGGATCCAAGATGGCTCCTTCACTCACTCATCTTGTGCCTTAGCTATGATTGCTGAAACAACTGGGGACTGGCTGAGTGTCTTTCTCTCTTCCCACAAAGTATCTTCCCGTGGCTAGCCTTGGCTTTCTTTCAACATGGTAGTCTCTTTTTACCTGGGACTGGCTTCCTAGAGAGAAAGTGGGAGCTTCCAGACCTTTAAAGGCTGGACTTAAAACTAGCACAATATCACTTCTTCCACATTCTGTTGGCCAAAGCAAGTCACAAGGCCATCCCAGATTTAAGAGGAAGGGAACTTGGTTTTTCCTTTAGATGAGAAGAATGGCATGTGCACAGAGGGAGAGGAGGAGTTGTGGCAGCCATCTTTAGAGACTAACACAGCAAGTCTAGTAGAGTTGACTGGCCCTCAACAGAGCTGACAAATGAAAAATGAAAAGCAA